AAAATCATTATACCCTCCTAATGGATATACCATCAATTATTCTATAATTTTTGTATTTGAATAAATAGAAACATTCTGGCATGCTTCATTCGGCAAACACACAATTAAAAACTGTTTTATTATGGCCGGATATCCGACGCAATATAGCGGCGGCACGCTAGTACAATAAAGTGTCAAATGATGACGTCATTTGCATTGGACAGTACACTGCGTTGTATTTCGGAACATACCGTAAAGTTATCACTGGAATAATGGGTGCGTTTGGCAGAAAAAAGCGCTAGCAAGCGCTTATAAGCGCTTTCTAGCGCTTTTTTTCTCGCTTATAAGTTTTCGGCAAGGACATGATTGCTACTTCAGTAGCGCTGACACAATCCGCCATTTTGCTTATTTAATTTGTTTGTTTTGAAGTAGAGTTTATAAGTTGTTTTGCGCAATATTAGTTTTAAGTAATATAATGACATGAATAAACATATACATGTTATTAAAAATTCATGATTGGTAAGTTTTTAATATGAATACTTTACAAACATATATTTAAATTAGGTTAGGTTCCCCGGTTAAAACTAACATCGTGTCCTGGAGGAAAATAGCTACTTACGATTTGACAGCGCTTACCGCTTACGATCGCCATTTTGCTTACAAGCGCTTGCTAGCGCTTTTTTCTGCCAAACGCACCCAATATACATATGTAACTTACCTGATATATAATGCGATAGATCAGGGTTAGACTAAGGTGCAGCGTTAAATAAAGTGACAAATACAACCGTGATGATGAGATGATGTTATGACACCAGGATAAGAAAGGAATCCTTGATTACATATATAATCAAAGACAAAAGTCCACTGTTACCTGAATTTTTCTAATATTTTAAATTTATCAAAGAAATTAGTTTATAGTTGGGTCGTATCATGTATCAATTCAACCCGTAAACTGACCTAATTAATAATCAAGATTCTCTTTTTTCAGTATATTTTCCTATGAAACCTTCCAGCATAACACCATCCAATTTGTATTAAATAAAAATTTCGTTATCATTACAGTCTATTAAAGTCTAATGCTGAGCACAAGCCTCCCTTATAAACTGCCTTACAGTAGGCATATTTGCCATAGTTGCCACGCACGGCAAGCGGGTTGGCAACTGCAGTTTTTATTTTATTTCGTTATTAAAGATCCCTTATTTACAATTTATGATGCTGGCACTCTCCTAGTCTCATTTCCTATAGACACCTAGCTATTAGCTAACATTAAACCGTGAAGGTTATATCAGATGCTTTTGTCATACCAAAGTATTGCTAAATCTAAAATATTCATGGTATTGCCTATATATACTGCAATGAAGAACTACTGTTTCCATTGTAGTCAAAACTAAATGCTATTAGGCATTGATGTTGAAACTCAGCCAAGATTTGATCATCTTTGATTATATACCTGTCACAGGTATATAATCAAAGAAAGGAATGCTTCAGTGGTTTAGTCATATATAAAAGAATGAGTGAGGAAAGAGTGACAAAGCAAATTTATGTTGCAGAAGTGAATGAAAGAGTCAGAAAGGAAAGTCCTAGGTGAAAGTTTATCGACCAAATTGGCGATATATTAAAAATGGGACAAATTAAGAGTACCCTTAACCGTCAAGCATGTATGCATGGATATGTGAATGTGGAGGAGGCGAGAGAGGTGTGTCAGGATCGTGCCAAATGGAAGTCTGTAGTCTCTGCCTACCCCACTGGATGACAGGCGTGAGTTTTTATGTATTATGTATGTAAATACAACCAGAACCTGAAAACCAACAATTAGCCTTGAATTCTGGATCACACTAAAATCACCAGTTGTTTTACCCACTTAAAGCTGTTCCATCAAACTATTAAGTGAATGCATGTGCTTTAAGACGTAGAAATTACCTCACTCATATTGACTGAGAAATCAGAAGAGGGAATAAATTGCACATCTGCTTGCTTGCACACAAATGTAATATAATCCTGTCCTCTGATGAATAGTCTCTGTTGTGACCAAATTAATTCAAAGGGAGACCATATATACTGGTGGCGAGGTGTTGAGTCTTGGTCCTCATGGGTGAACATTAATTGAGGATAAATATAGATGTCCATTGGCTGCAGCATTCATCTGCCGTCGAGTGGACTGTGTACTCGTTTACTTAAATCACCCGTTAATTCTATAAAAACAAATTATTTTGCTTGCCAGCGGTTGGAACAACTAATATCTCTTTATTCTGGTTTCAAATTTGTAGTTGTTGTATTTTATTTGCTTATCCAATCTGTTCTAAAATTAGTTTATGGTTTTTAACCTCTTACCATGAGCTGGTATCACTTTTAGTGGCAGTTTGTTCCACACTTCAACCACTTTTGCTAAATTAGGTGAATTATTAGGTAACAAGGCTGTAGTCAATTTTAAGTGAAGATCATGGTGTCCATGTATTATTTGATATGTTTCAATCAAGTCTTTCAGAGTGGTTAGTTTAAGTGTTTTCACATTTTCTTCATATTGGATGTTTTTAATGCTATAGAAACTTTTGAATATCTGCCTTGAACCACCTAACTCAATATAATTTGGAAGGTAATTCTAAAATAGGTTGAATATATTATGTTTTAAATATATTTTATGTATAATTTCTGGTATTATTATTATTTGCCATAGTTGCTAGGTGGGTTGGCAACTGCAGTTTTTTTATTATTCTGACCTGTTATGTGCAAAATGCTGCTTCCCATATATATTTGAAACTAAGTGATAGGGCATAATAGTGAAAGGTGTGGACTGCAAAGTCCATAAGGTAGTAAGTTCAAATCTGCCATTTGACTATTGTTGTAAATTACTCCTAGTGCAAGCATTTTCAATTTACTTGCAGCAAATGAGAGAAGTATTTGTAATGTTAATAGTGAGGTAGTTTATTTTTAACGTAGGCTTACCGTGAAATCCTCCAACTTTGGCCACATTTTTTAGAAAATTGGTTACCACACCAAAAAAATATAGGAAATAGTATATTGATTTTATGACGTGCAAGTGAAGTTTATATGCGTTACTATAACTAAAACACAAAAAATCTGTAAAAAATAGTTGATTTTGTAGTTTAAAAGTAATTTTAAAGACCGGCCAAAGTTAGGTCCACTTTCTGTAAACATTGTCCACTGTTTATTTCGACTGAACTTTAAGCCTTATCTGCATGCTTCTTAAGAGCTATAGTAGAAAACCGGCTAAAGATGGCATCTATATAAAATTAATTTCCAAAAGTGGCCATTTTGGCTTCTTATTACAGTGGCTAATCATAGATAAATAAATACGTAGCAAGCTAGTGGCTAATGTTACCCGTTACTTTTTGCAAGTTTGCATACAACTGATTTTAGACGCAAGGGTTGACACAAATAAATTTAAAAAATTAAAACATAGTTTTTGCAAAAATATTTTATTTAAAATCAAGATAGTTCGTTGAACTACGTGCTCTTAGCGACTACAAAATCAAAATTAGTGTAGGTATAATATGAAAAGCGAACTTAAAACTTAACTACCTACTACTAAATTTTGGTATCAAGAATCAGGCTCAATAGCATTTGGTTCTGAAAACGAATATTGAAGGTACTTACTGTGAGAACCATACATTAAATCTATACGAATTGCACAACCATAGCGACTATAAAAAATCAAAATTAAAGATAGTAGATAAATAATGACTTAATGATAGAAGAAACTAATTTGTGACTTAATTACTTATATATCTTACATTTTGGCATCAAGGCTTTGGTCTCAGCAAAGCTGACCTGACAGCACGAATCGAAAATTCCTACTGAGAAAATATTAATTCTAGACTGCCTACATAGATCTTTATTACTGTAATAGATGGTTGAATAAAGCTTGAGAGAGAGAGAGAGCACCTGCGCGTCAGCTCCAGAAGTCGCTTGAGCGGTGTTCTTTACAGAAAGCTATATTCAACCGTCTGGCATAAACACTTTAATTAGCCATGTGAATTTACAAAGCTCACATTGAGTATTTTTTAATAATAACATTGACAAATTATTAATGATGAGTTTTTTTTAGATAATTTATATTTACCTGGCACTTAGGTAAATGTTTCATAACAATGAATTACGTACTATTTATATCTGAATTTAATTATTGACCTTTCAAAAACTCACTACCAGATAAAAGTTGGCTAAAAATCGACACAGTTAATATTTATATAAAATTAGTCTTAAGTTTTATTTTACGAGATCATAAAACGTTGGAGGTGTTTATGGTAGTGTACCTAAAGTCCCTCAAAGTACTTTTAAACCACTGAAATCAACTTCAAATGCTAATGAACCCCTACGGTTATCATTTGGTTGAGGTAATACTTTTACGATATCAAATAAATACATTTCTGCCTCATCTTTTACCTGAGGCCAGAAAAAAGAGTTGTTATTCTTCTTTCTTAAAAAATTTATGGACACAAAGATTCCATCGATTTTTGTTACCTTTCCTACATAATATTTAGTACTCTTTTCAGTTATAAATTTGACCAAAACGTATTTGTCAACGTGCACTTCATGTTGAATATGATGGTCCAATAATTCTTCATTTTCTACGGACATAGTTTTATTGTTTTCATTAAATTCTGTTGTACACATTTCGACGTCTTTTTCAACATCTTCGGGAACGTATCTTTCGCTACTATCTGATGATTCTCTATATGAAATATTCTCGGAAACGTCGGTGTCACTGCCACTGCTGTTTCGAGTTAGTCTTTTAGATCTTTTTTGTTTTTTACTATTATTACCTCTTTTGTTCTCTTTTTTTGCTTGTTTTTATTGGTTTCAATTTTTGTAATAAATCTTTGTTTTCTACTGTCGTTTCCAGTTTCTCTGTTGTTTCGCAATCCTTATATTTGTCTGGTTTGTTAATACATTTCGATTCTTTATTTTCATTTATTATGTTTAACTCTATTTCTTCCAGCACGTTCTCTTTATCTTTATTTTGCAATTTTTCGTCACTGTCTGAATATAGGACGTGTAGTCTAAAAAAAAACCTGATTTATTTGTCTTTCCGGTTGACGTTGATGGTAATTTAAAGTCACTGTCGAAAGAACTTTTATCTTATTTTCATTATTATTATTTCCAGGTAATTTCATTATTCGGTCATCCATTTCCTTAATTTTAAAAAGTCCCGTCTTTTCATCTAAAAGCATGCTTATTTCATCATCTTTCAATGAATCTTGAAGATTTTTCAAATCAATTGCATCTGTAAAATCTTCGTTTTTGATCTTTTCTATGAGCTCCATTTCGTCTTCATACATATCTTTGAGAGATTGCGTCATATCCATGTTAAAGTTATCTAGGAGATTTCCATTTTCAGTCCCTTCCATACATTTTATTCGTTCATCTTCAATCATATCCATCTTGTATCTATTATTTTCACCATTGTCGACCAGTTTTTGACAGTTGCCAGATTTTTTATATATTTTCGCATTGAGTTTGTAATTTTTCGAAGTCTTGGCTCTGCCTTGTACGCTAGCTACTGATGAAGTTGACGCATTTGTTCCCTGTCGTAGAAAGTCATCGACTGTCACTGATTTTCCTGGTTCAGTAACAACTTTTTTATTTCGTTTCGAAATCATGGGCTTAGGTTGTCTTGTTCGTTTTAAATATTAGAGCAGGGTCTCGTCTATTGTATAAGACTGTAACTCTTCGTGATATTCAGGTATCCGTTTTATCACCTCACGAGGGTTGAAAGGGCTGATTCCAGAAGCTTTAAAACCACTTTTGATATTCTTTAACTCTGTTAGCTGGATCTGATCAATCAAAGACTTCAATAACTTTGGAAAGTGGTTTTTATTAAGTGTCGATTGATTTGGATTCTCCATTTTATATTGAAGTAAAATTTTTCGCCATATTTTCTTAAGCGGTCCAAAAAATGCCACATCGAGTGGCTGCGTCAAATGTGTAGAGTTTGCAGGTATTAAAACGAACTGAATATCATGACTTTCGCAGAGCTCGATAATATTTACACTTAAGTGGCTCGATAGATTGTCGCAAATAACAACTTTTTTCCCGGGCAAACCACTCGCCCAATCCAGGACGATTCGTTTAAAGTAATCCTCAAAAGTTTGAGAATCAAACCAGCCTGACTTGGTGTGATTATATCTGGTATGACGAGGCCCGCCCTGTATCCACTCCGAGTATAAGTTGTCGGCTTTGTAAACAACGTAGACTGGTAAGATTTCACCAGCCGCTGTTCCAGAGAACATGATTGATATGGCCCCCTTTGTAGAGTTGAGGACCCTTTCGGGATATTTCACCCCTCTCTTGAATATGCACTTGGAATTTCCCGGATTGTCACTTAAGTTGGTCTCGTCGAAATTCAATATATTTGATGCCGGAACATCTTTAATGGTTTCACGTAAATTTTCAAAATATTCCATTAATTCATCAACCCCTTTTTCCGCTCGGACTTTTTTGATATTTTGCGTACGGTCAAATCGACAGCGTTACGCAACAAAAAATTATCCACCGAAGCTTTTCCTGGAGGTTGACCTTTAAACAAGTCCTGTCGACCATTTTTTTTAAATATTCGAAAACCACGAGACGTAGGTCTAATTTTGTAAGAGGACAACCAAATTTTGCAGCGGCAATCAGTACGTTTACTTTTTTAGACTCTTCTTCCTCCGTTAGACGAGTTGGACATCCAACAGATTTGTTATGTTTGTTGTGGATTTTGTTTAATATGGTCTGTTTAGGTATGGAAAACTGTCGTGCAGCAGCTCGTGCCGATAACTGACCATTTTCTACTAACTCAACTGCTAGTTGAAGCATTTCTTGGCTATACTTTTTGTATTCACGGGCCCCAAGACACCGACGTCTTTTCCTTTGTTTCTGTCTAGGTTTTGCTTTTCCTTTGATGCTGAAATAAATTTAAAATAACATACATTTAATTATTTATATAGCTGTAATTACTTCAAAAACACTAATTACACGTAAATGTAATGGATAGGTGAATTCAGCAAAAACTTGTAATACAATTCATCATACTACCGAACTACCAATTGTCATTTTAAACTATAATGTAGGTAAAACTAATCCATACGTATTTTAATAACTATTATAACGAAACGTATGTAACGAAAAGTTAGTGAAGATATATATTATAACGTAGATATATATTACGTTACTTTACTAGAAGGTGGCAGCCCTAGTGCTCTTTGTTAGCGGCCAATGTTTACACCCAAGATACGAAGAATCTGATTGTAACATTGGTCGCTTTTATTTCACGTACAAAAACACCGATCCTAAGTTATTTAGCATATCAGAACGTTTTCCTGACATCACTTTATAACATATTCAAGAACTACTCACCTAGGCTTCATTTTACCAGGATGTCACAAAAAAATTTAAAAGCAAAAATTGGTCCGCACTTCAGGTGATGACAATTCGATCACGACTGACAGCCGACTAATTGACGTAAGCAAACAAACGTCAATGAGTGTTGCCAGAAATATAATCTATTTTCTACTACTGACTTTGAAATTTAACTATTTTACACCATTTCCATGCTAAGAGCTAATTAAGTATTTTTTTGTTTTGGCTAATGTTACAACTTAGAGGCCAAAGTTGGAGGATTTCACGGTAATGGAGTGAATTTTGAAAGCCCAAACTTGTAAATACCTCTGTCAGGGTCTCAAGAGTGTGAATCTACTGCTTTTAAAATGATATCTGTTAAAGTAAGGGGACTTCTATTTACTTGACACTCACAATATTTTAAATCAGTTAAGAGAATTGTGTCCATATAGCTTGCAGAACTAACATCAGAAGGGGAAACATAATTATCGAGCAGTAGCCTCATTCCGGTAAGCAAAATTGTAGAGTAGCCCCCCACTAGATAGTGGTAATCTGGTAAGACAGGCAGTCAATGGATTTATGTGGTTTAGCAGTGTGTTGTTGCAGTGATGATGATTCACTATGTGGTAGGACTTGTTTCTGCCTGGAAGTCTGCCTGGGCAGTGATCATCCTCTTATCTGTTTCTGCCACAAGCCGCAGTATGTGTCCCAGCCTGAAGGACACTGAGAGCCAGTCATTTCAATATTGTAAAAAATGGTGTTAATGAAGAGAATTGTGGTAGCCAATAGATATTATTAGTAACTTGTATATTTAAGTAGTTTCCCATATTTATGACGATCTTTCATATTTTCAGAGGAATGAGGATGAAGAGCCCATAATTGTCTGTTTCACCTGTCATGCGAGACTCCTTCGTTGCAGGAGATTGCAACAACAGGTTATTGAGTCGAATGCACTTCTGGAGCAGTTGCTTGCAGGGGGGTCCATGGTATTATTTATTTCATCCATTAAAACCTGTAAAAGTTCTCATAATATAATGTTTCATATGAGGGATTTTGCCAAGTTTTCCACACTTGGCAGGTCGGCAACCGCAGTTTATATTAGTCCGAGTTGTTATCAGGAAGATGCTGCTGCCCAACTGCTGTTTCTGTTTCCCTCTGTTGCCTCTTACGACATCCGTCCCGTGGGTAGATATATAGGGTAGTGGATATTCTTACACCGCTACTACACGGTCCACAGTATTATACTTCTTATTAGTAAAAGTTCACTGCTTGATGGTTCACTCCCATTATAATGAAGTATTTGCCTTAATCATCACTTGGCAGGCACCTTAATGATCACTACCTGTCTCGCGCCTTCTATGCTGTTTCCCTTTGCAATACAAGATAATGTTTTTTTACTGCAAAGTTAATTTTTTTAAAGCAATGTTCTATATTTGACGAATTTCAGTGAGTTAAGTACTAATTTTTACATAAATAATTTATGTTATATATTACTCTTTGTATATAAATGAAATATTATCTATAGGTAACTAGCTTGCCAGGCAGACATTGTTCTGCCCTTTTCAACGACAATTTGTCATGTCCTATTAAAAATCCTTAAATTCGCAAAAAAAATTGTGGGCAAAAAAACTATCCTATCTCTCAAGTTGGACCAAACTGCACACGGTGTGCAAATTTGATTAAAATCGGTTAAGTAGTTTAGTTCCATCGCTGACAAACAAGGTGATACGTAATTTATATATATTAAGATATCACGCAGTGAACAAATATTAATATTTGTCAGTTTGACAACAAATGATTGTTGAGAATTGATAGTCGGGATGGATGACGTATCTACATTCTTTTTTAACTTTATTCTGAACCCTCACTTTTGTCCGGTTTTCATTATTATTTGGACTTGTTGTCAGGAAGTTGCTGCTGCCCGTCTCATGTTTCAGTTTCCTTCTGTCCCTTCTTACAACATCTGCGGGATGGTATGTGGTAGTGTGGATTCTCCTACGCCACCACTACACTGGAGTTTTCTCTTATTTAAAAAAATAATTTGGTTTCAGTCAATACCAAAACCGTATGAGTCTAGAGATAAGATTCAGTTCACACCAGTTTATCATATAGATATCCGGCCAGTAGAGTGTGTTATAGAAAATGATTTAAAGGACAACATTTTCAACCTTGAATCTGTTAAAGTTGAGGAAGAGAATTTCCAATATGAGAATTCAAAATTTGAAGTAAATGGGAATCCTAACAAAGGTACAATATACCCTTTTTGATATTATTAAAATAAGGTACAATTTATCTTATGACAAGTGGTTACATGGCCCATGAACACAAAATAAAGATGACAAAGTGCATGTAAAATGCACTCGTGGAGAAAGAAAAAAAACAAATCAAATAATTATATTAAGGATAAGCATACAAAGACATCATAATAAGCTTTGTTAGACATTTTCTTTTACTTATGTATAAATATATTTATAAATGTTTTGACCCTGTTTACAACTGGTAAGCTACCACCTATCTTTGCCAATTTCTTAACCTTGATGGACTACTTTCTCTTACCTATTTCTGTTGTCAAATAGCAGTGCATGCATATATACAGTCAGTATAATCATAGGCTGTGAGGTGACAGTGCATTGTAGCCTTTTATGTTTGAAGTCAGCTGCAGACAGTCCGTGGACTGCAGTACCCACTTACCATCAGGTGATTCGGCTACATGCCATAAGGTGGACTGTTAGTTTGTTTGTCACTTCATACTGAAAAACATTTGGAGAAAAGGTGCTCAAAGTATCGTTGTACTGGCAAGCACTCATCTACTTAAAAAAAATTGTAGCAGAACATTCACTAAATGTGGTGAATAAATCATCATCATCATTACAGCTCTTCACAAGTCCACTGCTGAACATAGGCCTCCCCCAAGGAACACCACAAAGCACGGTAGTGAGCCACCTGCAACCATCGACTTCCAGCATGTTTTACTAGGTTGTCACTCCATCTACTGGGGGAGCGCCCTACATTTCGTCTACCGGCACGAGACTGCCACAATTTCTTCACGTTAGGAAAACTATTCTTCTCCATCGGTTGTCAGTTCTTCGGCCCATTGCCACTTCATGTTAATACACTTAGCTTATAAAACATGCAGTGTGCTAATGAAAGAGGGTGGCTCGAGCCCATAAGCTGTGTGATGGACTGTAATGTCTAGTCGTTTGGAAAAATATCAGTTTTTATTTTATATATTGATGATCATTCTAGATACTGCTGAAAAACAAGAAGATTTGGAGATTGATGCTTTTGAAGATCGACATAGGGATTCAGAGAATGACTTTCCACTAATTTCATTAGGTGCAAAGATTAAAACAGATGACTTTAACATAGGTAAAATAATTTATTTTGAAAAAAAAACCGTATTTAAAAATAAAATTTAAAAAACTACAAAAAAACACTACATTAGAAATTTCTCTTGCATCATGTAGTTGAAGATGTACTGTACGTACAAAATTTTGTTCTTTTACTACACATAAACAAACCAAATGATTGTTTGTGACCCAAATGAACCAAAATGATTATTTGTAGGTCATACTATCTTGTTGTTTTAAGCAAGAATTGAATTCGCCGGTGGAAAACCAAGGTGTTATTAAGATAAAACAGGAAACTGATTTGTTGATAGGGCTATTAATATGTCTGAGAAAGTTGTTGCAAGTACATCTGCTAATCATGAGATCCTGGGAAAGGCGAAAAACGAAATCACACAATAAAATAAAATTAAAAAAACAATAATCTTTGTAGCAACAAGTGTTTAAAACACAATGAGAGGATGTAGATTTTCTAGTTTTTTTAAATGCCTGTAATTTTTAAAATACATAGCATAGATTTTTTTTAAATTTTTTTGTTAATTATTATGACAACCTATCACCCGACTCCGACTTGAAGTCGATTTCTGGGTCAACCTATGTATATACACATAGAAAATTAACAGTTTTATGGGTGCTGGTGGAGAACGAACCTGGGTTGCTAGCGTTATGTAAAATTTTATGGCAAACTACTGACCTCTGAGCTACCAGGGCTTGTTTTGAGTCTTTGTATGGCCTACAAA